TTTGTTTGTTTGTTTGTTTGTTTGTTTGTTTGTTTGTTTTATCTGAACCATCCTGCCACCTGTTGGTAGCTCAGCAGTAGCTCAGCTCAACCAGGAATCGAACTGGCGACACTGTAGCTCAGAGCTCACACTCCTGAGCGAGCTTTTCACCAACTGAGCCACTCGGGCAGCCCCAAGAAATGTATTTCTAAATGAAATACTTTTGAGAGAAAAGGCAGGCTTCGGAGACAAACAGTACCTCAACAATGTTACTAAAACTATCCCACTGAAACATTTATTACGACCACTTGTCCCAAACCATTCAATTAGTGGCAAATTAAGATTCCCATCTCTGCATTTCTTGGTGTGGACAGGTCCTAGAGGGCAGTTCCGTGCCTCAAGCTTGTTTCTTTTGCTGGTGTGTTGAACATTTCACGACCTGTGCCACTCACAAGTGTCAGGTGAGATGCTTTGAGCAGAGGTTAATTTTACATTTTATTGAACAATTTACGGTTTCTTGACAGAGTTAAGGTTGGTAATGGAAAAGAATGGAGGAGTGTGGATTCGGATAAAGATTATAGGTGCGAGCATTTTAACATTTATCAAGACTAAGAAACTCAGTATTTTTGCCAGGAAGTAAGTACTATAATTAGAACTGGATCTGCGTACAATAGCAAAATAAAAAAAAGTGACGAGATTGAGTCCATAAATCACATGTAAAAGTCAAATTCTTTATCTTATAGTGCCAAAGGAATCATTTAAATGCCTTTTCCATGTATTAACACTTACATCCAATAAAGACATAAAAATGTTATACATCCATTTGTAATTATTTGTAAGTACACACATACCTGCACACACACGCAAATTAGATAGCTTTGTCAATAGAGTCTTAAATTTTAAAACTGGAACACATTTCCCAGATGGTTGAGTTTACCTATGGACTCTTAACTATGTCTTAAAATATAAAACTATCATGCACCAGATTATAAATAATCATATAAGTACATGTACATATGTATTGTATATGATCATATGTGTGTGTGTATGTGTATAATATATAATTTGCTACTCCAAACAGTCAATATTTAACAACCACCATTTTACTTTTATTAAAAATATTTGGAGCATACCACTTTTGAGAAAGACACCAGTGGCTTCAATCACACACTTGATTAGTTAACAGTGCCATTCATAGCATGATGCCAATTATAATAACTAACTACAGGGTTTAACAAACACATTTGCAGACAATATCTTGATATAATGAGAGAATATGGGGTTGTATATTCAAGTTAAAAATAGTCTTTTAAAAGTGTAATGAAATAGGCAATCGGTTGTTTTGAATGTAGAACCCTGAATCACTGTTCTTTTTTACTGAATTGATTGCATGTGTAATAACCTTGAGAGGAGAGCCTCGGGCACCAAGAAAAGAGATCCCACAACTTTCAAAATTTGTGAATATATAATTGAAGAGTTCAAGAAAACTTTCCTGAAGCTAAATAGAAATGAAATTTGTTCTTATCAAAAGAAATTATAATAATATGTTAATAAATGATTCATCTATTTCATGCATAAGAGCCTCAAGCATCCTTATTAAAAAGAACAATATTTTATCATATATAATTACATAGGAAGGAATTGAACTGATGCAGAAATGAATGAGCTAAGAATTAATAAAAATACTTCATGAAAGAAATATATATTTTCTAATATTTGAAGAAAAACAAAGATGCCATTTAAAAAGAATGCATTATAAATGTGACTTGGCTCTGGTGTGAAGAAGTATGTGATTATCGTCCAAAATAATGTTTCACAGTGAAATTATTAGAATAATATTTTGAAGAATGTAGATATATAAAAGTAAAATAGATCATCACAAAGTGAATAATAATCTCTTTTATGCAATTTGAATGTTATTCATTTAAGAAGATTAGTAAAATCAGCACAAACCCTTGTTTTATATTGTAGGGACTTCATTTATTTAATTGCATTACCATTATCTCCTTCTAACCCAAAATGGGATGAAACATGTCTGCAAGATTTGCACATGGAAAGAAAAGAGTGTATCCAGAATTGACACATACTTCTCAGAAATGATTATCTAGGGATCCATGTAAACTCACAATTGTCCTGAGAATGGACCAGTTGCGTGTGCTTCGCTACGCTCTCCCCTGAAGGCACACAGGTAATCTGGAGTGTTACAGTCAAATTGCCACAGCAACATGACACCAGTTTACACACAATAGTCCCCTTCTAACCTGTAGCCAGATGTATTTAAGCGCATAATTGATGCACACTATATATATTTTTATTTTAAATACACTATATTTTAGAGTAGTTTTAGGTCCACAGCAAAACTGAGGAGAAAGTAGAGAGTTACCTGGTACCCCTATCTCCCTACACACATGCAACCTCCCCTGCTATTAACACCGGCATCAGAATGGTTCATTTGTTCCAACTGATGAACCTACATTGACAAATCCTTTTCATCCAAAGTCCATAGTGTACATTAGGGTTCCCTCTTGATGCTGCACATTCTACGGGTTTGGACAAATGTATAATAGCATGCATCTGCCATTACAGTGTCACACAGAATAGTTTAACTGCCCTTAAACTCACTCAGCTCTGCCTATTCATCCCTCCCTACCCTCAACCCTTGGCAACCGCTGATTTTGACTGTCTCCATAGTTTGCCTTTTCCAGAAAGTCACGTATTTAAAATTATATAGTAGCCTTTTCAGATTGACTTGTTCACTTAGTTATAAGCATTTAAGGATCCTCAATGTCTTATCATGGTTTGATAGCTCATTTCCTTTTCATGCTGAATAATACTGTATTGTCTGGATGTAACATAGTTTTTTTATCCATTCACCTACTAAAGGACATTTTGGTGGGTTCTAAGTGTGGGCAATTACGAATAAAACTGCAATAAATATCTGCGTCCAGGTTTTTGTGTGGACATAAGCTTTCAATTCCTTTGAGTAAATATCAAGGAATATGGTTGCTGGATCTTATAGTAAGAGTCTGTTTAGTTTTGTAAGAAGTCTCTAAACTGTTTTCAGAAATGGTTGTACCATTTGCATTCCCACCAGCAATGAATCAGACTTCGTGTTGTTCTGTTTCATATACTCATCAACATTTGGTGTCAGTGTTCCAGATTTTTGGCCATTATGTTAGGTGTGTAGTGCTATTTCATTGTTGTTTTAATTTGCATTTCCCTAATGGCATATGATGTTGAACATCTTTTCATACGCTTATTTGCCATCTGTATGTCTTCTTTGGTGAGGTGTCAGTTCAGTCTTTTCTGCATTTTTAAGTGAATTATTTGTTTTTATATTATTGAGTTTTAAGAGTTCTTTTTATATTTTAGATAACAGTCTTTTATCAGGTATGCCTTTTCCAAACATAGTCTCTAAGGCTATGATTTGTCTCCCTCTTTTCTTAACAATGTTTTTTTTTTTATAGTGTAGATGTTTTTAAGTGGTTTGACGTCCAGCTTATTAATTATTTCTTTCATGAATCATGATTTTCATGTTGTATCTAAAAAGCCATCACAATACTCAAAGTCATCCGATTTACTTCTGTGTTATCTTTTGGGAATTTTATATTTTTGCACTTTAGATCTGTAATACATTTTGAGTTACTTTTTTTTAAGGGTGTAATGTCTATGTCATTTTTTGCAAGAAGATGTCCATTTGTTTCAGTACCATTTGTTGAAAATACTACCTTTTCTCCATTTATTATGTTTGCTCCTTTGTCAAAGATGACTTGACAATATATATGAGAGTATTTTTGAGCATATCTCTATTCTGTTCCATTGATGCATTTGCCTATTATTTCAACAATATCACACTCTTAATTAGTATAAATTTATAGTAAACCTGTAAGTTGGGTAGTGTCATTCTTCTAACTTTGTTCTTCTCCTTCAATGTTATGTTGGCTATTCTGTGTCTTTTGCTTCTCTATATAAACTTTAGAGTCAGTTTGGGAATATTCACAAAATAACTTCCAGAGATTTTGATTAGTTAGTATTCCATTGACTCTATATATAAAATAGGGAAGAACTGACATATTGACAATATTGACTCTTCCTAACCGTGAACATGCAATATTTACATATTTATTTATTTCTTCTCTGTTTCTTTCACTAGAGTTTTATAGTTTTCCTCATATAGATGTTGTGCCTTTTGTTGTTGTTAGATTTATACCTAAGTATTTCCTTTGTGAGGAGCTAACCTAACTGGTATTGTTTTTAAATCAAATCCCACTTGTTTGTTGCTGACATATAGAAAAGTAATTGACTTTTTTTTGTTTTTTTTCAGAGCTTTTATATTTGAGTTTATTCTTCATTTAATTTTTAAAACACTACTATAGTTGAATATTAAAACAAAAACAATAGCAAGTAGTGAGCATATTATGATTATAGTCCTTCACTCATTCACTACTGCATATAAAATGCCAGCAGTGAGTGTTCCTCACTGGCCCCATTAAAAGGTCTGACACTGAACACGACCCCTAGGATGATGCTCATCATCCTCATATGCTTCTCCATTGTAATGGTGCCATCTTTCTTGATTTGGATCAAAGTCGACCAGTTCTACCTGGTCCATTTCATCAGTCTCTTCTACTTCCTTCCTTTCAGGTAGGAGTTTTTCAAGCAAAGAGTTTATCAGGAGAGAGAAAGCCATTCTCAGGAAAATTCACCTTAAATTTGATGATTAGACGACCCTTTTCATATGGTCTA